CCCCCCACCTTATGGCATTATGACGTTGATTTTCCGGGGACACTAGCAATAAGACCAAGGCAAGCTGGGGGTGGGTCAGATTGTTCTGGGCTTTCCATGTCAGTATCTAAAGGCTCCTATAGGCAGCTGCATAACCCTAGGCCCCTAAACATCCCGCCGTCTCCTCTAATAAATGATGAAGAATGTGCGCTGGACCTCCCCTTGGGCAGAGTCGGTCATTTACCGGTGTTTCGATTATCCTCAGGACAGTCCTCTTGATGTCTGCTGTGGCTTCAGTGTAGACAGAGGCCAGCTCATGGATGAGCTTGTGATTCTGGGGGAGCAGAGCCAGATACAGATATAAACAATGCTTTACGGTGTCTTCTGTCCAGGGAGCCGCTACCTCTGAGATAGAAAAGTGGGTGCAACTTGCTTTGGTTAAGGGCAACAAACTGACAGTTTAAAAATGTACAAAACTTTCCACATGACTCTTATTTTGTCTAACTAATCAGCAAAATATCCCACCTGTGTCTTTATCTGCACCAAAAAGGACTGAAGGAGGATTGGGGTGAGCCAGAAGCTGCAGGTAATTCAAGGCAAATTTCTCAATATATTGATGAAGGGCCTCCTTCTCATACATTCTCTTAATCAGGTTGAGAGCCTGTTGACGGACCTGAGAAGACCAATCATGAACAGTGAATACAAAGGGAGGCTAAAGCAAACACATACCTGTACCAAGCACTCACTTACCTTGTCCTTCTCATTGGAGCTCAGGTCCAGAAGAAGATGCAGGTACTGGAACTGCCGAGCAGGGCGAGTTAGAATGAGATCTCTCAATGTTGACATTCCCAGATAACTACGGCCCTGTGCAGCGAAAATCCAAAACTCAGCGCGATGTGACAGAACATTTCTAGTTACTTTTAAATATGTCACATGATAACATTACATGCCATCCATAGTAAGAGAGTAAGCCAACCACCACTGCAAAATGCCCCTTTAATCTTCTTCACAGTCTGCATGGTGAACATACCGATTCTAGTGAACACGAGATTTTTCACACTACAAAAGAACGTTTGTTTGATTTTCTATTAGTTGATGTGATCAAATCAACGATCGATTTCCACCGAATTGACAAAAAAAAAACTCGAAAGGAACAGGATGGAAAATGTTTCTCTAACAAATGAGATTCTAACCGTGATTGTGGCTTTTGTTTGGGAAAATCCATTGAGATGTATGAAGTGTCTGATGTCATTATCAGGTGGTAAAGGAAGAGCTTTGGATGTCCAGCCTTACGGAGAGATAGAATGTATGACTTGCTTGTAGAATCCAGTTCTTGGAGTAGAGTACAGGACACAGGCAATTCACAGACTGGGTTATATGCAGGTATCCCCATGGTCAGAGCTGTGAGGGCCCGCACCTGATCCCCCCCAATCAGTCTTCAAGCACGCAATAGAGGACAGAGGGGACGGTCTGCACAGACTGGTAAACTGGTACTTGGGACACAGGGTTGAAATGATCAGGAAAAGCCCACGGAGAGTCGGCTAGAAGTCTGCTGAGGTCTAAGTACCACATCTGCATTGGCCAATATGGTGCAATGAAAATCTCCATGGTGCCTTTTACCTTGATCCTGCACAGCAGACGAGGAGGGAATTTCAGAGGAGGAGAGACATTAATCAGGTTAGAGCATCCACTGCCATGGCTGCCTGGAATCTGGAAGTCAGGAAGTTCACAATCCAGATCAGATGGCCGAGTAGTCGAGAGGTCCAATGATGAAGGGACAACTGAATCCCCCATAGCTCCAGGCTGTTGATTGGGAGACTAGCTTCCTGTGGTGACTGTCCTCTCCTGAGCCTGTTAGACTAGCAATCATCATAAGAATCTACCGGACCAATGGAAGGATTTACACAATTCCTGGCCTGGAATCCTGAGCCACCAAATTAGTGATAACCTGACCTTGGGTGACAGACACATGAGAATGGTGGTAGTGGACTTGATTATCAGGAGGTTAATCTGTCACAAAGACCGTGATCTCCGAACAGTATGTTGTTTACCGGGTGCTCAGGTTCGGCACATTGTGGATTGGATGGACAGACTATTGGGTGGGGAGGACCCAGTGTGGTACCAATGACAAAATGATAGGAAGATAGAGTGTCCTCAAAAAAAGATTTCAAAGTGTGTAAGAAGCTAGCTAGAGTTGTGCTAGCCAATGTTATCTTAGCCGCCGAGGAGTCCAATTAAATATTTAGCTTACAAGTATTACTCTAAGAAATATGCAGTACAAGAAGATTATTCATTTCCTCCCGTCTCTCACACACATAGCCATGTATTCTCCGGCATCCTCTTCTCCATTCTCATGTCTCTTATCTTACTGTTTTATATCAAATTACATTCCATTCCCATGCTAGGATTGGCCTCCGATTTTGCTAAACTACACTTACACTACACTGACGTGTTCTCCATGCATATGCATTCATTGGAAATCATACACAACAGATTATTGGTGTAACGAGCCCCTGCTCGCTCGGTTCCACTCTCCCGGCACTCCTCGGCTGCTATTGGATCAGATGTCAGACCGCAACGTCTGATTCTTCGATTGTCCGATAATCCGGGACCTGAACTACAGCTATGTGCCGTTCCAATCCAGCTCAGAACAAAACACCAGGCCGGCTGTATGTAAGTTCCAACAGGGATCTGCTTTATTGAAGACCAGCTCAGTATATATACAGTTCTGGGGGTCTCAGTATATATACAGTCCAAGAAGTCTAAACACATAACGCAATCACACATGCACAGCATGCAAACATCCCCTCCCCCTCCCCGATGCCTTAATGAATGAATAGGGGGAGAGGAGACACATGTGATGGGATTATCTCCTGAGTGTATTATAGTGTGATCTACTCATCTACTCCTGGAGTCAGCTACTCCTAGAATCAGCCATCCTAATCCCATCATTAACACAATACAACAAAGGGACCAATATACTGTAACAGTTCAATGTCCAGAATTATCCCCCTTCAGTGCTCCTGGAGTCACAGCCTGTACCTATAATACACACAGGGCCATCCAAATGTAATGCCATTAGTCGAGAGGTCCAATGATGAAGGGACAACTGAATCCCCCATAGCTCCAGGCTGTTGATTGGGAGACTAGCTTCCTGTGGTGACTGTCCTCTCCTGAGCCTGTTAGACTAGCAATCATCATAAGAATCTACCGGACCAATGGAAGGATTTACACAATTCCTGGCCTGGAATCCTGAGCCACCAAATTAGTGATAACCTGACCTTGGGTGACAGACACATGAGAATGGTGGTAGTGGACTTGATTATCAGGAGGTTAATCTGTCACAAAGACCGTGATCTCCGAACAGTATGTTGTTTACCGGGTGCTCAGGTTCGGCACATTGTGGATTGGATGGACAGACTATTGGGTGGGGAGGACCCAGTGTGGTACCAATGACAAAATGATAGGAAGATAGAGTGTCCTCAAAAAAAGATTTCAAAGTGTGTAAGAAGCTAGCTAGAGTTGTGCTAGCCAATGTTATCTTAGCCGCCGAGGAGTCCAATTAAATATTTAGCTTACAAGTATTACTCTAAGAAATATGCAGTACAAGAAGATTATTCATTTCCTCCCGTCTCTCACACACATAGCCATGTATTCTCCGGCATCCTCTTCTCCATTCTCATGTCTCTTATCTTACTGTTTTATATCAAATTACATTCCATTCCCATGCTAGGATTGGCCTCCGATTTTGCTAAACTACACTTACACTACACTGACGTGTTCTCCATGCATATGCATTCATTGGAAATCATACACAACAGATTATTGGTGTAACGAGCCCCTGCTCGCTCGGTTCCACTCTCCCGGCACTCCTCGGCTGCTATTGGATCAGATGTCAGACCGCAACGTCTGATTCTTCGATTGTCCGATAATCCGGGACCTGAACTACAGCTATGTGCCGTTCCAATCCAGCTCAGAACAAAACACCAGGCCGGCTGTATGTAAGTTCCAACAGGGATCTGCTTTATTGAAGACCAGCTCAGTATATATACAGTTCTGGGGGTCTCAGTATATATACAGTCCAAGAAGTCTAAACACATAACGCAATCACACATGCACAGCATGCAAACATCCCCTCCCCCTCCCCGATGCCTTAATGAATGAATAGGGGGAGAGGAGACACATGTGATGGGATTATCTCCTGAGTGTATTATAGTGTGATCTACTCATCTACTCCTGGAGTCAGCTACTCCTAGAATCAGCCATCCTAATCCCATCATTAACACAATACAACAAAGGGACCAATATACTGTAACAGTTCAATGTCCAGAATTATCCCCCTTCAGTGCTCCTGGAGTCACAGCCTGTACCTATAATACACACAGGGCCATCCAAATGTAATGCCAGGGAACATGTACAGTACATCCCCCCACACATAAACCTGGTAGAATGGTTAATTTTAACCCCAAGAAGTCCGAGGGGGGTCTCCATAGTTCTGGGTCCATAGTCAGTTGGAAGGAGGCTTGCCCCCAGGCTCCTCCAACCGCACCAGTGACGGTGAAATTGGCTTTAACAAGAGACTTGGGTCACATGCTACTGAAGAGGACCTCCAGGGTGGTGTTCTCTGAAATACTGCTGCTGCCAAAAGCCACACCACCGAGACAACAGAGCTTAACAAGTGGCTAAAGAACTGGTGTAAGCAGAAGTTTGGGTTTATGGAGAACTGGGCTGACTTTTCAGTTGGTTACCAGCTCTACAACGGGACAGACTGCGCTTAAATGGGAAGGGTGCAGCCCTGATGGGAGCAAAATGGTAATAAGGTTGGAGCAAATAGTAAACTAGGATCTGGAGGGGACATGCCAGACAGCGAGGATAGGTGCCTCTTTCCCCCTCTCCTCTTTAGGAGCTAGAGAAAGGAGCTATGTCCAAGAGCTAGAGAAAGTTCAGAGAAGGGCAACTACAGTAATAAGGGGGTATGGAGGGCCGGAGTTATCAAGAACACCTAAGATAATTACATCTGCTCTCCTTAGAGAAGAGACGCTTAAGAGGTGACGTGATGGTAATCTACAAACTCATCAATGGGGACAACATTATAGTAAATACACTACTTAGAAGAGAACTGAGCTAACAATTACATAGTCAGGGTGAAAAAAAAAAAGGACACCAAAGTCCATCAAGTTTAACCTATAGAGACCTAACCCTAAGGTGATCATGTCCCCCCTTCATCGCCTCTTCTCCAGAGAGAACACATTCAGGTCAGTTCATCTTTCCTCATAGCTGAGCTCCTCCTCCATGCCTCTTATGAGTTTAGTTGCCTTTTTCTGCACTCACAGATGAGGTCTTACTAATGCTTTGTAACACTGAACCTTGGGGGACACCAGCACCAACACTGAACCTTGGGGGACACCACCACCAACACTGAACCTTGGGGGACACCACCACCAACACTGAACCTTGGGGGCCACCACCACCAACACTGACCCTTGGGGGACACCACC